CAGTGACGACACCGCGTGCGGGACGATTCCCACACCCGCGTCGAAGAACGCGCTCGCGTCCTCACGACGTGTCGGCGACGAAAGACTGATGTGCGAATACACATCGATGTGAACTTTTCAAGCGTGAACGGTACGCAGTCTACGGGCAAGCGTGTCGTTCGTCGCGCTCGCGGCAAAATGTTGAGCTTGATAAGAAAACCATTCTGTTACGCGCCACAAGTACGTGGTGACATCAGGGTTTGACAATAAAACTTGAGGCCTTTGGTCGCGAAAAAAGTACAGGTATTTTTCCGCGCGCGTCACGTCTTCACGCGCGGGTGTCGCGACGCGGTGCATCGCGCGCGCGCGAGTGCGGCGGCCGCGGTGCGGCCGGGACGCGCGCGCGAGGGACATTCCCTCTCCCCGAATCCGCGCCCTGATCCGTGCCCAGTGGGTGAAACGAAAGCGCGTGCACGGGATAAAACACCTCACCGGGTGGGAGTCAAAATCCTTTCGACGTATTGGAGTTGTGGATGACCTGTGTGGGTCGATTGGAAGATGAAACGGCGCCGAGGGACGCCGCAGAGACGCGCGCGCGTCGACGACGGGCGATGGCGCGACGCGCGATCGCTCTCGCGGTCGCGATCATCGGTACAGCGCTCGTGAGCGCGCGTGGTGGCGACGCGGTGGCGGACGTTGAGCATATGGAGGAGCCGCGCGGACGCGCGCGCGTTGGAGAAACAAACTCGAGCGCGGGGGGCTTCGTACGCGTCGTCGACGCGAACGCGTTCGCTCGCGGGGAGTGCGACTCGCCGTTCGTGTTCGCCGGATTTAACGCGTACGGCTTGGGAGAACTCGGCGCGGATTTCGAGGACGGGGCGTACATGTTTGGTGTCGATCGAGGTCAAGGTAGACGCGCGGCGACGCGAATGTTGGACGCAGCCTCCGATGCGGGCATGAACGCGGCGCGTGTTTGGGCGTTCAGCGTGAATGAAAGACGAAAGACGTGGCGACGGAACGCGAGAGGTGAGCTCGAGCACGACGAGGCGTTTTTGACTGGGTTGGATTGGGTCGTCGGCGAGGCTTCAAAGCGCCGAATGGTTTTGATTCTCGCACTCGCGGATCACTGGCACACGACGAGCGAATTCTTGGCCGAATGTGTCGGCGACGCCGACGCAGATATGTCGGAGTTTTACGAGCGCGTCGAGTGTCGAGAGATGTACGTGTGGCACGCATCAAAGATACTCATGAGATATCGCGACGAGCCCGCCGTCGGCGCGTATAATCTGATAAACGAACCTCGCTGCCGCGGATGCGACGAGAGCTTACAGCGATGGATCGACTGGGCCGCCCCATTCGTGAAAACACTCGCACCGAATCAGTTGCTGACGATCGGTGAGGAGGGATTTTACGCCGCTGGCGAAGATAACGCTCGAGTGAATCCAGCATCGTGGGCTGGAACGACGGGACAGGATTTCAACCGAAATCACGCGTCGAGCGCGATCGATTTCGCCGCCTTGCACGTATGGAGAGATAACTGGGCGGTGTATTCACCGTCTGTGCGCTTCGACGCCGAGGCATTCACGCGAAGATGGATTGCGGCACACGAGCGCGACGCTCGGATGATACTTCGCAAGCCACTCGTTGTGGAAGAATTCGGCGCTGCACCGGGCGGTGCGCGCGCGCTTGCGCGAACGGGCCGGCAGTCGGCTTCGATGTGGACGAGTCGACGAGATGAACGTGGAGTTAATAATTATTATAGGGGCGTATTTTCGCAGGTGAAGCGGAATTTAGACGACACCGAAAGCTCACTTCGTGGCGCGTTGTTCTGGGGACTGTTCCCGGAATCGATGCGAGCCGAGGTCGATCAGTGGGATCCTTTCGCGGTATATCCGAGCGATGGCGCATTCGAGCTTGCTTCGAGATTTGCGCAAAGTATAGAGTCGTCATCGACGCGTGCGACATCGTGCAACGAC